GATGGCAGAAATTATTGCTGCTTCTTGGCGTGCAAAGCGTCATCGGCAGTCGTTGGCGCCGTCTCGTCGTCGTTCTCGTCGTCTTCGCTGGCGAGCGCGGCGAGGCGCTTCTTGAACGCGATCTGCTCGGCCTTTTCGCGGGCCGCGATCTCGTCCTCTTCGCTGAGCTCGCGCGGCGAGAGGTGCGCGAGGAGCCGAAAGAAGATGGCCAACCAGATGAGCGGGTAAGCAAACTCGCGCGAGACTTGGTCAAAGTACCTACGCCATGCGTGAGACCGCGGTCGAGCACAGAGGTATGGTACGTGGTGTACTCGTACACGAGCGTCATGCTGACGCCAATGAGGAGGAAGGCGACGACGTGCTGGTACTGCTGCACGGGACCGTAGTCCGGGATGCTCGACCAGTTCCACGGCGCGACGGGCTCGGGCGGCCCGAACGACTCGACTTCGGCTTCGTCCGCCATGCTCGCGATGACGCAATACAATACTACGTGGCCCAATCACCGTCAGTTGCAGTGAATAAAACACAATGCATCGGTTTTAAACACGAGGTCGGGGCTAGGGCTTGCCACGTCAGGCCTACAGCGGCTTCTAGCTCCCTTCCTTCGACCGCACGAGTGCGCTGCCAGTGTGATGTTCCGTCAGGTGTGGTGTGTAGGTTCATACAGCGCTTTGGCTCGGCTCTCGTGTTGACCTCGTCTCGAGACGAGTGAGGGTACCCACCAGGTAGGCTTCTCCATACAACAGCGTCGCCGTCGAGGGGCGCACGGGCTGTCTACGAGCCGTGAGGCAGAGCTCATCCTTCGCACAAGACTCTGCGACAAGCCTAGTTTCTAGCATCGCCGTTCCGCTCCTTGCGTCACCACCAGCGGCGATGGCCCGTGTTGCCTCCGTGCTCGCGACGTTTCTGGTATGTCTGGATGTGACCTGTAGCGTGCAATTTACGTGGATGCAATGTGTGTCGTCATTCTCGAGCGCTTTATTGAATGTAAGCATAGCCGCGCTTCTTGGCAGCGCGGACGCGGCCGACGTAAAAGCCGACGCCGACGCTGAGCGCGATGATGATGACGAGAATGAGAAACACGATCGCGCCGACGGACGACGCACTCGCGCCGCCGAGCGGGTCGAAGTACCCGACGCTCTTGAGGTACCAGTCCGGGTACCCCATCGGCGTGGTGCTCAAGCGCGCGCTTGTCGCGTTGGCCACGACGTAGCCGTCGTGGAAGCGCGTGACGACGCTCGAGAAAAGAGCGAAGAAGACGTCGTGGGCTTGCGTTGCAGCCACGTCGGCGTTGGTCGTCAAGTACGCCACCATTGCATCGTCGCCCTGGAGATCTCGCAGCGCTGGCGCCACACGGTCAACATCCTTGAGTGCTACGCTAGCAAAATGAGCCTGAATACTTTTGTGGTGTCGGCCTACTCGAGCGCATGGCCGACTCGAGCGCGACCTGCGTCTCGGCAATCACGGGGTGCGCAAACTTGTAGTAGCGCGCTGCGTAGTTGCCCAGGACTGCGTGGAGCCAAAAGGTGACGTTCAAGTCGAACGCCCGCAGCGAGCCTTGGCTCAGACGCGCCGGCACCTCGGAGATGCGGACGTGCAGCGGAATGTACGTGTTGGCGTCCGGCGCATGGGCGCCAAACCTAACCTTTGCGCTAAGAAATCCTCTCGGCAACGACTCGCCGACGCACCAGAGAAGCCCGAGGTCCTGCGACGTGGCCGTCGGCACTGCGACAAACGAGTACGTGGACGAGGCCACGGCGATGCTGCGCTCAAATCGGCCGCCGCTCTGTGCCGTGCTGTAGCGCTCCGGGTCGCCAAAGGGACCGGCGGCCGGTCCCTGGGTCAAGTCGAAGGCTGTGCCTTCAAAGTGGTCGCGCTGAAAGGCCATGAGGTCGTGGGCCGAGAGCGGACTCGCGGGCTACGAGTCATATTCGCTCGAAATGAAATAGGCGGTCGAGGATATCGTTACCGCGATCGAGAACGGATAGTTGCTTGCGTACAAGTCGGTGAACGGGCTGAGCGCGTTGGACGGGTCGGCGAGGTTGAAGACACGCCAGACGCGGCGCGTCGACGCCTCGGACGACGCTCCCGTGTACGCAAACGCTGCTGTAAAGTCAAAGGGCAAGGTCGGTTCCCAAAACCCGCTGCGCGCCGCCACGTCGCGGAGGTTGGACGAGGAGAGAAAGTTGTCTGCGTCGTCGAATTGGATCTCCCGAAGCACAAACTCGTTGGCAACCACTGCAATGTGGTTGCTTGGCACGCGCTGAGCGGCCCAGAGCGCAGATGCGCCCGTGTCGTCCGGCAGAATGTGAAACATCCAGGCCTCGGTCGTGTCGGAGATCGTGAGCGCTTCGCCGGCGCTCGCATACGCGTCGTCGTTGTCCCAATCCGAGCCATAGTACCTAGTATACAAGCACACTCGTACAGAGTTGTGTACTAGGCATGACTGCACACCCGTAGGTCTCGGCGAGACGACCCATGAGCAGAATGGCATCCCGCGCCGTCGTCGTCCGCTCGAGCGCGATGCGGCCGAGCTCGGTGATGTCGAGGAGTGCGAGCCCGCCGTCCGAGATGGGCCGCGACACGAACCGCGCTCCGCACGTGCTCTCGCCCATTGCGAGCTGGCGCTCGTTCATGATGCCGAAGACGCCTTCGAGGTACCCGTACGTGGCGTTCACTTGCGGAATCTGACCAATCGGCTGCGACGCGGTCCAGTCGTAAAAGCGGTCATCCAGCTTTTCGGGT